AGGTACTGCGTACCCCCGCTAAATCTTTTAGGGGTACGCAGTACCTGACCGTAGCCCCCTACTTTCACCCCTGGGCGAGACCAAGCATTATAGTTAACAAAAACTAACGAAATAAACTGAAACTGAGAACATTAACTGAACTAACTGGGCTGGATTACTGCCGACGACATATTAGCGTTTGTAGATAGATTTTTACCCAGAATGCAAATGGAAAAAAACCGTGAGCGAAACGGTGACTGGTACTGACTAGTATATGTTCCATTGAGGGAAACTAAGTTTCATATCTGCTCAAGAGCCCCCCTGGTGGTTGAAGAAAAATCCACATATATATGAAAAAAAAAAACACTGAATGCTCTCTGGTATTGTTCAGGGGGCCGGACCAAATGAGGAGGCGGGCCAGATCCGGCCCGCGGGTCGTAGTTTGGGGACCCCTGATTTAGATAAGTAGACATCAGAGATTGGAAGGATTAGATTCTTTGATTTCTGCAAAGTATGAGCAAATGCTTATGCAAATTTCAGCAAAAATAACAGCATTTTCTATATGTCACTCTTTACATCAGTATTATTTATTTTGTTTTAATAAACAGGGCTATTTCATGAATGTTTGTTTATGTAAATATATTAAATAAAAAGCCTGTTTACTTTTCAATTGGACCTAGTTCTGGAGTTTGACTGAAGCTTTCCAAATTATGATTTAGTTACAATTCTGTAAAATAAATGTTTGTTTGTTTTTTTGTTTGGGGGATGTTGTATTAAGTAAATGAAGTTGTTTGTACTACAGATGGAGATTTACTGATCTAAAGCATTCTGTTGTAGCTTTAGCTGTAATGTCTCTTTGTTCTGATAGAATGTGGATCTTTGAACCAGTGTAGAGTCTTTTGCAAGTGTGACAGGTCTTCTTCCAGGATTGAACCCTAGTTTCATCATTTTTCATAATTCAATCAAATCTGAATTATTTTTGATTGTCATCAGTTTTCACTTTAACATAAAAAGTAGTTTTTGGTGCACTTTATTTTCCAAAAAAGTGTAAGAGATCCAAAGTGTTGAGAATGTTTTACAGGCATTGTAAGTATGCACAACATACATTTATTTTATTTATATAAAAAAGTACATCATGCATCGTTTTCTGCATTGGTCTATGAAATTAAATTCTAAATAATAAATTGTGGTTGTAATGTGACAACATGTAAAATGTTTTAAAGATATGAATACTTTTACTGGAGATTATTTTATTAATCATGTCTTTTTATGTGTACAGTTAGCTCTGATAGCCAATCTGGAGTTATTCAGCAGGTGCTTTGCTCACCTTGGCTCATCAACATAATTAATTCAATTTAGACTTTGTTATCAAAAATACTCCCAAAAAACCTGAAAGCCAGTCAAATATAAACTAGATAACATGTTTGATTTGTTGAAAATTTTAAGGTGTTTTCCGCCTGTCAAAATCTTAAAAATTTTACTCTAAGTTGGTAGTTAAATTTCCCATTATTTTTCTACTAATTATTTTTGTTCTTCATGGCTGATCGGCTTCATTTAGAGTTAGTTTTTATTTGACTGAATAATTTCCTTTTCCTTTTCTATGCACTCATTAGCATACGTTTTGCTAATGATGAGAGTTTACCTGATTGTTTTATTGCTAAAGTAGGACAGGATATGGGAATAACTGTGCAGCGATAGCACAGTAGAAGGCTTATATGCCATCACAGAGTTACATGATCTATTTGCCCTTGTTTTTAAAATGAACAGAACAGACAGGAACAATGAGGATTAGTGGGAGATTAACTTCTATGCACTGACTGATGGCAAGAATTTAGACTCAAGCTGAGA